GAGAGAGAGAGAGAGAGAGAGAGAGAGAGAGAGAGAGAGAGAGAGAGAGAGAGAGAGAGAGAGAGAGAGAGAGATGCCAAGCAGTATTCTTTTGTCAAGGCATCTCGTTAATTGAAGCAAGTTCTATGTCTTAAATACTCCTCAGTGAGGAGCTTGGGCAGAGGGAACTGGGGAAGGGGGAAGGAGGAAAGGAAAAGAGGGGCAGTTGCAAGGTCAGTGATTAGAACACCTGCTGTTAGTGATAAGCAGCAAACAAAGAAGACACTCTGAGGTGCTGGCTGAAGCTTGAATCTCCAAGGTGAGCACACAATGTCTTAGTTAATTTTAAGTTTTCTGTCTCAAGATTTCCACCTAAGGCCCGGTGAGAAGCCTGAAGTGGCTCCTGACACTTAACTTCCTTCATACATTTTACTGCAGATGACAGTATTTCATTTCATTTTTAATGTCTGAATAATAATATATTTTATTATATAATATAAATACATAATATATTTATTGTTATACTAATAATATATTGTATTTGACATATATCATAAATTCTTTACTGTTTCATCTATTGGTGGACATTAGGCCAAGTCCATATCTCGAAGCTGAAGATGCGTAGCAATAACACTAGATAACAGTAAGGTTTTGAATGGTGACTTCATTTCTTTTGGCTATATTCTCAGGGAGGCTAGACTTAACTTGATAACCCACTTCACTAAAGTTTCCCATGCTCACTACTAAAGGCCAGCAAACAGCAATGAGGCATGTAACTACTGTAAATTGTGGACAATTACAGCCATAGAAAATTATTTGACAGATGAGACAAGTTCTCCATTTTTATGAATCTATAGAATATTTTTTGATTGGTCTCAATTAAACAGTATCTTAAAATGCTGTGTAAATCAAAGAAAAATAGTTAAAGTTCACCAAATTCTGGTACTTATTGAAATACTGATTAATGAAAACTAAGTGAATGGCTTCTCTGTGACAGACTCCAAAACAAGAGTAAACAAGGACTGACCTTTTTGTGGAGCCTATGAATTGAAAAAGAAGGCAAAAAGTAAATGCACAAAGTAAAAACTCCCTAAGTGTACCTTGGCTGGCGACATGGCTAAGCAGATAAAGGGGCTTCCAATGTGTACCTGACAACCAAAATTCAATTCTCACAGCCTCCATAAAAGGTGGAAGGCCAAAAATAACTCCTTAAATTTGTCTTCTGAGCTCCACCCATGTGGCACAATCTCCCATCATGCACCAAGCACGTTGTATGCTCACATGCATACATGCACACAAACACACACACACATACACACACATTATGATTTAGTAGCTCCAACCCCTAATCCAAGCCCATGGGACACTACTAATGGAAGACCATGCCTAACTTTGAGAGCCGCATAGACTTCATACTGACATTCCAGGCCAGCTTAGGCTACAGTCTCAAAAGAGCTGTGTTTTATTAACGGTTTATTCTGTAACAATTACAATAAATAATTTCAGTTTTACTTCACCCCATTTCTATGATGTTTTCATGTGTTGAACAATCTTTGCATTCCAAAAGTAAATCCTACCTGTTCATGTTACACACTGGCTGTAACTCACACCACCATTATAAGGTCGGTAACTTCTTAACCCACGACTTTTTCAGGACCTCAGGGGCTCAGTGCTTAAAATCTGCAGTTTTCTGGAAAAAGAACTGAGTGAAGAAGATGTGGATGCTGTTGTGAGACAAGCTACATTTCAGAACATGAAATCTGACCCGCGAGCAAATTATGAAGATATTATAAAAAAGGAAATTGGGACAAGAAATGATCAGGGAACATTCCTCCGCAAAGGTGATATTTACTAGTCTGTAATAGCAAAAAAAAATAATGTTGAGTGTTCCTAGAATACTTTGAAGAAATAATACATGTTTCTAAAATATTTCTTCAGGTGATAATGACATAATGACATTTGGAAATTTCAAGCATTTTAGTTGACAGAGAATTTGAAGGCTTTGTAGTAGTTTTAGTTAAGAATCTGACAATTTCATTTACTAAATACATATGACTTTCCTTCTTTTTAGGCCACACAAATGAATCTTTAAAGTATGTCAGTGGTCTTGTCCTAGGAAATAGATGTGTTAGAAGTTAAGACTCTAATTGATATTGTGCTATTGTTTTGTTGGAGTTGTTTTTTTATTTTGCTTTATTTTGGTTTTTTATCTTGTTTAGTTGGGAGTGTGTGTGTGTGTGTATTTCAAAGAGAGAGAGAGAACGTGTGTTTCTCAGTGTAGTCTAAGCAACCACAGCTCCCTTAAATTTATAATCCTCCTGTCTCTACTGCACATGCTCCCTGAAAACTAGGATTACGACATGGGGATATACTGCTTAGACAAGAACAATTTATTTACTATTTTTATAGGATATTGGACAAGTAAACTTACTGTCTATCTATATTGAAAACAAAGTTTAAAATGCTGCTTCCTGATGTATGAGGGTTTTTACATCATAAAAATTAGAGTTATGTCATAATAACTTTATCTGACATGAATTCAATAAAGTAAACAGGCAATAAACTTATTATGATCTCATTATATGCCCAGAGATATGAGTAAGAATGAACATTTCCCTCTTGATACCATTTTAACTTATCATTGTTGTATTAGCTTATTTTAAATATTGCTGGGTTTTTATATTTTTCACGAACTCTTTTATTTTGTCTCTTCTGCCACTTAACATCAATTCTCACATCTCATTTCTCAGCAAGCCTAAATGTCTTACCCATGATAGCTCACCATCCGTTCCAAATCAAATAATAATGTCATCCTCTCGGACAGCTAAGGACCCTAAATGACTGTTTTCATTTTAACTAGTGTAGTGATCATTTCAAATTCATACTCAGTAAAACCACAACAGTAACCACTCTGAAGATCTATGTAGCCTTGACTTAATTTGCTAAAACCCTCTGGGTCTCATTTTTTTCTGTTTAAAAATAAAGAACCAAACAGCATATACCTCAAAAGACTGTGTTTGAAATATACTGTGTTTGAAGTCTCAGTGTTTTCTTAGTATAATGATTGGCACATTGTAAAATGTACTTTTAAAATTCTAATATATATTTTTAACTTTTAAGGTTTTTATTCTAAAAATTGGCTACAACTCAGTGGTAGTAGCTAGTGATATCTATTTATTTTGTTGCTACTCGTGAAGTTTCTTCTGTAATGAGAGGAGAGATAGTCAAGCTAACTCTCCTGAGAGGGATGTGCAGTGTCAGCTGTAGAGAGTAGAGTGAGTTGGGTGGACTATGCTCTGATACTGCTACTTATGTAGGTGTTATCCTGTGCTTCTCCCATTAGGAACCATTGGAGACTGGAAGCATCACTTGACTGTGGATCAGAATGAAAGATTTGACAGAATATTCAACAGGAACATGAAAAACATTCCCTTAAAGTTAATCTGGGATATAAATGAGGAGTAGAATTTTAATTACCACGTGAATCAATCATATAAAAATGTACTAACCAAAGGCCATACTTAAATATTAAAATTAATTTCTTCCACTCACTTAACTATGAATTATAAGCCACAATTCTCGAACAATATAATTAACTTATGTTTTGATTACTGGCAATAACATTGATTTTAAAGTTAGCTATTAGCAATGGTATATTTCACAAAAATAGTATAACAAAAAACATAAAACTTGTCTTGTAGTCTTCAGAGATTCTTCTATAGTTCACATTTTCTTTACCTTTAATTAATACAGGATCAAATAAACACTAAAAATCCATTTAATCTTATACTTAATTTTAATTAATTGCTTTCAAAATCAATATGACTGTTCAAATGTGCTGTGTGAAATAAACAGAAGTGTCATATAAAACATTTATGCCTTTTAAAATTAATATAACAGATCTTAGCTTGTAGTAAAAACATAAAAGTCAAAGATTAAACATATGGTGGTTTTAGTGTGGATGCCCAGGATCTGGGCTCACACCTAGAGACATATGGGGGTTCAAGGCCCATGCTGCTATTGGGTCCATGCCGTTTTAAATGACCTGCACTGCCAACCAGGTTCATGGTGACACCTGAGCCCAGGCTGCTGCAAAGGACTATGAATCCATCATCCAGTCACAGATGGGATCTGTATTGATCAGTGAGGAGTGAGGAGCAAGGGGGTTGCTTTCCCTTGCCCACACCACCATGTGGCAGATCATGGGGCTAGCTCTCTCACTCTCAGTCTTCAGGGTCTGCTCACCCACACCCGCACAAGGAGGGACAGCTCTACTGTGCTGCCCTGAGGATGTCCAGGGTCTGCTCTCCAGACTGGTCAGTGAGGGTCAGGGCTAACTCTGTGAAGCCCTGTCCTCAGTGCTTTTGGAGGATAAAGGAATCATGGACATCAACACAATGGCAATCATGGCAGGGTCATAGACCCTGATATGGCCACTGACAGCAATCTAGGCCCAGATGACCCCATGGCCCTGAGTGGCAGCACAGATTACTCAGATCTACATGGCCTCAACAGAGACTCAACCCTTGGACAGTAACTTGACCCTAGGTAACAGCCCACACTCCTGATGCTTGTGTGGCCCTTGGTGGCTCTAAAGTCCATGCACACAGCAGAGCATGCACAACATGTCACGTGTGCAGTACACTAGAGCTTACGCATTTGGCAGGGGGCAGGTAACCAGGCCTGTGAGCATGAGAATAGGAAAGCTGCATCCTCCCTCATATGCCAAGGGATGGCAAGGGTAAGGGAAATGTGCCCTCACTGCCCACCCCTTGCCACCTAAATCACACAGGAGAACCAACCTGGGGGGGCATGAGAATGGAAGAGCTGGTTCTGCCTTCACCAGGTGACTGGGCGAAACAGTGGAGCTGGCCTTGGCAGTGTAAATATGAATAGGCTGGACCTGAGGGTGTAATATCAGGAGAACTGGCCCTGTTCTTTGCTGTCTGCTGCATCAAGTGAGAGAGCCAGGGCTGTGTTGGAGAGCTCTCCCAGGTAGTGATGGTGAAGGAAAGCTGGCAGGCTGACTAATTCAGCCTCCACCAGATCCAGAACCTGGTCTATGAGTTGGCCCACCCCAGCATCCACCGAATCTATGAATTGTTGGAGCATGTAATGAGCCCAGACCTGCAGATCTGCAGATCCAGAGCTACCAGATCTCTATGACACAAGGCAACAATGGGATATCCAAGAGCAAACCCAGTGGGTGCCCAGTATCCAAGGCATAGCAGAAGCCAAAGGCCTCAAACCAGACCGATGAGCATTGCAATGAACACTTACAAGTTAAGGTGTATGGACTAAAGAGTATACAGTGTGACTCACTATTTCACCCAACACCATCCACGCTGAGAGACTTCTTGTTTTTTGTTTGTTTGTTTGTTTTTGTTTTGCGCTTTTCTTTTAAATTTTATTTTATTTTGTGGGTGGAAGTTGCAAGAGCTGAAGGTAGAAATGAGGAGATAGGAAGATGAGTGGGATTGGGATACATAGTGTGAAATCCACAATGAACCAATAAAAAGTTAAATAAAAATACTGCTGGTTTAATTACAAGGTATTAGGATGAAAACAGTTCTGTCTGCAACATAT